ATGGCTCAAATTATTGTTCACCCCCGAATGGTCATTACCCGACTTCTCTTCCTCCACCCCCCACCCCCCCGGCCTGTTACCAATCACTGTGCAAACATACGTGCCAAGTAGTCAGATTGGAATGTTTCCAATCGATCCAGTTGTGGAGGCTATGGCTGAGATGAGCAAGACACGACGACCGCAGAGGCAAAATGAAAAACGATCTGATCAGCTACCCGGTGGTCGAGTGGATGCGATCCCGAGTTGGGTCAATGGATTCGTACGGTTGATGATGAAACCCAATGTGGTCGGAACAGCCATACATTGCGTCCTAGCTTTTCGATTCACACTTTGTTATTTATTCCGTACACGAGGAAACCGACCATATGATTGAACCAAATAATCCGTTACTCTTGAAATGGGGCGAATTCCCCATGCAAACGTCTGGTAATTACTGACCCGCAATCATCCGTCAGCAGAAGTAGATAAACGAGGGAAGTATCAAACAAAGTCAGTTCTAAAGAGANAGAGACATACGAGGATAGTTCAAAAAGGGAACGGAATGCGGCTAAGCTATCGCTAAGCAACATAAGATCCCGAGATATGGACAGTAGGAGACGAATTGTCTGATCGAGACTTTGACTTCCAAGACACAGGGTTTTACTTGAGACAGACAGTTTGTTGTCAAAGTACTATACAATGGGCGGTGATGGCCAAGTTGTTCGGTCACCAATTTGTGACCTGTGAGTCCCGGGTTCGAACCGCTCCACCGCCGCCCGTCTTCCCAGCCAACCTTTGTATGGCCGTAGCCCCCTTCTTGAATGTTGACTGTACACTTGTATATTCAGTAAATAAAAGACAAACAAAACAATACAAGTCGAAGAGTAGTAAGCAGACCTGTCGTACGCGGTAGGTACGGTCAAAGTTGCTCACGAGACCGCATACAGTTGTTAGTTCTATGCGGATCGTTTCATTCGAATATAGGAGTTGGACTGAATGTGAACATGTGACGGAATGAGCGAGGGTAAATCGTATGGTTTCCAAATTGGCATCGTTAGCTATGTATGTATGTATGTGTGTGCTGTGTGCACTGGAAATAGTGACGAGTGAGATTCAATCCGAGGTGGCAAGGCGTGCCTTTAGAATGCACCGAACGGTCAGGGTGAGGAGGGCAAAACAAAGGGGAAGGAGAAGCACGAATCACTGCTCCAATTGTCCTCCTCCTCCTCGTTCCCTCACAGTCTGTCCGAAAGGAAGAAAAATTAAAAAAAAAAATGGATGAAGCGGTGCACTGTCTCCCTCCTTTTCTCAGTTCCGATTCCCCATCGTTCCTGTTCCGTTGATAGTACGACGGG